TCTACAGACTCTTTATCTTTAATCGTGACAGCATCAATGTCTTTGAGTCCCCATATGGATGTCTCACCATCTGTTATCTCTCTCAGCTCTATAACTCCTGAGTGAATCCACCTGTCAGACCTGCACAGTGTTTTGAGAGGTTGCCTGATTTATTCTCAAGAGGTAGAATTCCTGGAAAATACTTTTTAATGGTACTGCAAAGAAATGGGTCACACAGTTGAAGGAGTTATGATAGTTTCCCAAATTTAGATTTATAAGTGAGTTTAAACTTATCACATACATTTAGGTTTTTTTTAAATGAATGTTTTATATAAATACGTTTTTTTGTGTTGTATTTCGGCGAGTTAGATGCAGCAGCAATACATAAACATAGTTTCAATGACATGATTCAGATGCTGGTCAGCCCAGTTTTGGCTCAGTATTCTCAAATCACGATGGAAATGTTTACTGACATTCATAAGCACTTATCCTTGGGTCAAGACAGTGTTTGCTTTCATGGGTACACAAAGTGTCAAGTACAGTATTCGTGTTTGTGTATGATTTAAGTTAACTGCCGTGGTTGGATCTAGTAAGTGATGGCATTATGGGATGCATGGAAGCGTCAATGTTCCCTGTCGAGAGCCAATTAGATGGAAGGCTTGGGAACGCTCAGAGCCATACGTTAGCTTGCCAGCGTGTTATAGGCCAAATGTAGGGAGGGGGCCTTACTTTCTACACACACACAAAAGAACACAATCTAACAAACACGAACAAAGGTACACAGAAGGGCACATATACACCAGCCATAAACAAATTGCCAATTTTAAGTTTCACTGTAACGGAAGCAATAAATCTGGCTGCTCTTCTCATCTAATGTTTTCAAGTTTGAAGGCTGTTAAAGATGACAAAAGCACTAAAGAATCCACTGTTTAACACTTAAAAGTTGTGACATCTGAAGAAAAACATCAAACTCAGTTGGCTTTATGTTATGCTTCAGTACTCTTGTAGACAAACAACTCTGGGTTAGAATAACTTTTTGTACACTATGGATTTCAGAAGAAAAGGCTAACTGCTCAATGTGTCATGTAAAACTTTTTACATGGCTGAATAGATTTTAAGGAGATCATCCATAACATTAAGTCAATATTTTGTAGAAAACACCAGTTACTCCACCCACCTACAGAGAAGCAATGATTAATCAAATGAGAAAATTTGCCATTTTTACAAATAAATGTCTACTTTTGAAAATATACTGAGATCTGGACTTTAATGACCTCAGTTGAATAAACAGCCATGAGCAGGTGAAGCCAAGATGGAAAGTTAACATGAGAAGTGGTATGAAATTGTGAAAACTGTCGGTAGAGAGGTGGTAAAGAGGAAGGAGGACCACAAAGATCCAGCCAAAATAATCTCAATACAGGCATGGTTATCTTGCTGATATCATTACGAGCCAGATACTGTGCAGTAATGATCATACATCCACCCAATGTCAGACATGTATACCCCCAACAACTGGGATGTTTCAGGGTCATAAACACCACCTGGCAGATTTAGGTCAGCATGTGTTGAAGGTAACATTTTGACAACTTATTTATGGAATTTCATATACTGACTTAAAGCATTGTACCCTTAATGTCTCAATACAGATGCTCGCCTCTGGTTCAACTCATTATTTCTCATGACACGACAACTTGAACCATCAGAGCGTCTGCACTAAAACCCTCTGAGACCTGCATGCACTGTAGATCCTGCAGCTCGTAGCTATGTTCCAACACTGAATGTGAATCGCTTTACCTCACTGACATTTCCTTCCTGTGTTATGTGCTGCAGGCACTAAGGGAGATAACACTAACTCACATTGATCCATCATTTCAGCTCTTTTGTTAACTGATTACTGTGGAGCTTTGTGACCACAGGCTGTTTCGTTTCAGAGGCCCAATGTCAGGTCTGACTCGGGGCAAGGAAACCGGAATATATTATGTTGAGGGTTTCTGATAGATGTGAATGCAGTTAATCTCTGATGTTGCACTGGACATGAAGGACACTGTGGGCAAATGGCCTCTGAGGTTAAATCCACAATTTACACAGAACAGTTACATGAGCATCAAAAGCACTGAAATGAAGTGAAATCATAAAATAAAAAGTTTATATCCACTGTTAAGTTAAGTTAAATTTTTTCTTTCTGAATCACATTACGTCGTCATGTATCTGAAGCACAGGCAGAAGAATAACTTTAACATTTCAACACTGAATTATCTTAAATGGTCGCCAATCCAAACCTGAACGCTCTACAGATTTTTTGATGGTAATTAAAAAATGAGGGTAAGTGAAAAAAGCTTAAACTAACACTATTGTGATTTGAGTCAAATTTCAAAAATACATCTTAAAAATGAGGCGTCTCCTGGCATCACTACATAAACTTTTGATCATCCCTCCAAATGGTGAATACATTATTTGAGAGGGTGATTATAGTGCGCCTGCCTCAGGATTCAAATGGGAGACAGAGATTTAGCGAGAGAGGACTTTAATCTTCCAGAGAATGCTCTCAAACTATCGCTCAACTCACTTTGGGGGTCAGATAAGCAGATAGAACCTGTGAATTAAATTTTGGTATAACAGTTTTTTTTCCAGGCAGGACAGTTGAATGTCATGTTGCTCAGAGCGGTGTTTCCGCTTCACTGCTGCGAAGCTTTCAGACAAACACTTTGCTGACAAAGCAGGTGATAGCTCAAACCAAATCTACCATCAGTTTTCCATTACCTTGAATACCACTCATGAATTCACAAAGGCCTGCAAATCTTCATATGCGTTTTTGTCAAATTCTCTTTTTAGTTCATGTCCCTCATGGATAGACACATTACAATATAATAACATTTATTGAACCATAAACTGCATTTGTTAAATAATGTGTGAAATAGTTAGAATGAGCCATATGTCAATGATAATCCGCCCTTTTGATGAGCAACAATGTTTTAAAATCTAGCTTTTATTTGAATTCAGTTATTTTCCCCATCTTAAATAAAGCTCAAATATGGATGTCTGTCACTACCTGCAGAATTGAAATATCACTTACTGTAAATGCATAACTACTTAGTTCTTCATTCAAGAGAAGATAGCACAGATAATAGATGTGGTATATGCTCCTGGGTCGTTTATGGCATTAAGTGTGCCCTTGATGAGACATAAAAGAGAAAGAGAGACGCACAAGAAAGAAATTAGCTTCTTAATGAAATAATTCAGACTATGAGACTGTGCTGTGGATTTAGTCTTAATGAGATTTAATTATAAAACACGTATAGTGCTCCCTTCCGGTCCCGGTTATTCACACCATATATGAAGATGGACAGCATGAAGCCATTTGCCCCCTGGTGGCTGGTTGCAGTATAGGTCTCCTCCATGTTATCAGATCAGACACATGTCAATCGTATCATGTCGCTACAAAACGACAAAGCATGCAACCAATTCACTTTATGCTCATTCAGTGTATTTAAATAACAAGCCATAATGTTACCTAATGTAATGTGTGATCTTTTTCTGCTAATATGTCACAAATAATTACAGTATTATCAGACGGGCTTCAGTAGCTAACAAAAATTCTGGCAAGCTTTGAATACATCGGCAAAGGATAATTGTTTTACCATCATTTCAAAAGCATTGCACACATAACAGCAATAGAACACATTCGAGAAATTTAAAAATCCTTTACTTATGGGCCTATGTTCTGCTAGTTGTTGTCATAAACCATGCCCAACGGGGTGACATTTATCAGGGAGCAGTCTGACAGTGGCCTGCAACTTTCAAGCGACCCCTGCTGTTAGGAAACGGTATGTGCCAGTGGAATACATTAGTACCACGAGATTCAGCATATGCAGCCGAAGGGGTCATCATATGCCACTGAAGCACTAGAAGCGTACCATCAGCCTCTTTTCGAAATCTCGGCATCTATGAGAAAGACTCTCCTCGGGCCTCTGCTACACCCACTTACCATGTCAGAAGCAGTGCTCGTCGTAATCTGTCTCTCAAGATACATCATGACAGCTTCTCCTGTCTGCTCTGGACAATGTTCGCTGTGATGTGAGAGTGAGTGAGGTGAGGAAGTGCCAGGGTGAACGAGTTGTGAGAGAGAGAGAGAGAGATGATATGAGACAACAGATACAGCTAGACAGAGATGGAAGTTTCGTGCAAGTCCTTATTTGTCTATCGGTTGTGGAGGAGAAAAACTGTTGAAGATCACAAGGCTGTATGTAACATCAGCAACACGTCTCAACACAAAGTAGTGATGGGCGAAGGGATATTTTTCTTTCACTTAGGGAGAACAGTTTTAAAGTATTGGGCTTTGACTGTGGCTTCACTTTGAGGAAATTGAAGGAATATTGTTTGGTTTCTTTCACTTTCACTTGAGAGATGTGATTAAGAAAACAGTCTTCGTACGTATAGTCATTCTAAAAGAGTCTTACGTCTGACTCAGTGCAAGGGAGATATTGAGAAGAAAATGAAAATACATGTACAGACACAGCAGAAAAACAGCTATGACATTTTTCAAAACATAAAAAAATGTAAGCAACAGTCTGTACATTTTGCTGAGCAATAGCAGCTACAGGTAACAATTATTTCTGTTGGCTTCAGAGACCAGAAAACAAAACCCATCAATCGCTTGAATAGTGCTTCGATATTAATAATAGTGTAGTCCCACTCACTGCCAAACGGTATATATTCCTCTGGCTTCCTGGACCAGTATTTGTGTCACTCTAATAAACCCTGCAGTAGATTATAACACTGCTATTTATTGTAGTAAACTATTTTAATGACATTGATCACATATCTTCTCAAAAGCAGAGTCACAATGCAAACCTCTCTTGTGCAAAGGTCAAAGCTGAGTACTGTACTGATGGATGATAAATGCAGGATTATAGCATACATAAGATTAAATGGGAGCTGTCGAGCAGATTATAAATGAGGGATTATAGGGTAAAGAGCAAAAGAGACGGAGAGACTATAAGGCAGACAGAAGTTGAAGAGGGAACAGAAATGAGGGGCTGTTGGCAGAAAGGAGAAGTGGGAGAAAATAACTAAAGGGATGTGTGAGTGAGTGTTAAGGGCAGAGAAAGAGAAAAAGAAAAGGACACTAGGGGAAAGATATATCAAAATGGAGGTGTTGTTGACCGAAGAAATGTGCAAACCACGACTCTGTAAATGTAGAAGGAGTCAGATCCATTTGTTTGGCACCCTCAGCAAGTGATGAAAGTCATTTCAATTTTACAGCCATGATGACATGTCCCCCAATGTCCACTGTCAAATCGATCAATGTGTGCGCGGCTGCACAAGTGAGATTGTGTGAATGTGACCGCCCTTGGAGGTTTGAAAAATACGCAGTGAGCATTTGTGGCCTTGGTGTTTGCATATCTGGTTCTCAGGCAGTACAGGAGTTCCAAAAAGCATTACCAATCAATGGCCTGAAACCCAGGGCCACTAAGATTCTATCCCACACTTGCTGACACTTGTTGACATTGATTGTGAGCATAAAGATATTAATCAAGTTAAAAAAGGAGCTAAAGCTAGTATTTTTGTAAACATAGGGTTAAAGAATGAATACCGGTGTTGACGATTTTGGCATGCAGTAGAGTGTATACCACTGACAGGGCACACTGGTCCCCCACACTATTAGATATCAGTCCCCTAAATATGCCTAATTCATTTTATTATGATGCCTGAAAAAACACACAACTTAAAATTTAACATTCACAATGTAAAAGAAAGTGATAAAAATAACATTGCTGATCCAACTCCCTTCTTTCTTGGCCATCTCCCCCATTGCTCCATCAAGTTTCATGTAGATCTGTTAAGACACTTTTTGAAAATCCTGCAGACAGACCAACAAACCAATTTTCCGGAGCAAAAATATAACTTTGTAGGGTTAAAAATATATTTTTGTCTATTAAAAAAACCCTGTATATCTTCTTCACTATCAGAGTGTGTGCATGCGAGCGTGCATGAGTGTACCATACTTTTTTTTTCTAGGATGTGTGAATGCACTTGTCATGTTTCAAGCAACCTCTAGTGAGCAAGTCAGGGAGTCAGTCTTCCTTGTCTCTAGATTTTTTATCTTCTGCATCTGATCTGCCCCACTGTCTGGTGAAAGTGCTAACATGAGCTGTCACTCTCATCCCAACCTCCACACCTCCGGAAGAGCGTACACACAACTCAAGGATCACAAGTCACTCTACACAAGTGACATGAAGCAATACAAGGAGACACACAGACAAAGGGGTAAGTGTTAGGATGTGTGCCGACGCCAACACCCGGCCGGATTCACATGCACATACAAACCACAACGGCCACAAGTGCCTGCATGGGACTAGATTAGAACAGTGTTGATGGTATACAGTAAGACTGCTGACTGACAGGCAGCCTTGCTCACAGCCTTCATCATTCAAGAGCTAATTGGACCTTTCCTGGATAAAAGTTGTAATAATCCAGCTATCTATCTAACTGCCAAAATCCACAGTCTCAGGTATCAAAGTTTAAACCTTCAACATGCCATTTGGTGTCCCAGGCCACTCTCAAAGGGAGGAATCCATGCAGGGACACATCTCAATGTGAAGGATCTCCAACCTGCAGGGCTTTTCCTGGATGAAAATTAGGCGGGCAACCAGGCCCGGGACAGACATCCAGGGAGCCATGCGCAGCTCTACTGCCCAGGCCGGAGTGTGCACATCCCGGCCACAGCACTGCCAAGCTCGGGGCAGACACCCAGGGAGTTATGCACAGCTCCACTAACACGTGTGTGTGTGTGTGTGTGTGTGTGTGTGTGTGTGTGTGTGTGTGTGTGTGTGTGTGTGTGTGTGTGTGTGTGTGTCACCCTTATCTTTCGCTCAAGTTCGGGGACTTTCATACGGAAGCTACACAATTCGTATATAGTAAACAACCACTTTTAGTGATGGATTTGGCTTGGGACAAACATTATCACTTTGGTACGGCTATTGTTGGGAGGCAAAGGAGGCATGAAATTTGATGGAGGCACACACCCGCCTCGCAATTTTCTATGCAGGAAAAACCCTGCCAACCTGGATCAGCTGGTTAGAGTTACCTACATTTTTATATAAATAGCAACTGTCTTTCCTCTTAATTCTAAGTTTCACCTGCTGGTAAAAAGCAGCATCGGTGTCTGTAATCCTGAAATGTATTTGTGCATGTAAATCCAACCATGTTTTCATTCTACTGCTCTGATCCAACAAATGATGCACACTGACCAGGAGGGCAGACTCTCACAATATGTCTTTAGTGCATTGCAGCAGATTTGACCCCTTTTATTTGATGACAAAGATTTCACGGTCAGATATTTTCCACCCAGCTTCTCTGGGAAGGGAGGTCACAGGATAAAAAACCTTGTGCTTTCTGCTATGATGAGTAATTCAGGTGAAAAGCAACAATTTGCATTCACCTAACCTTTGATGTACCAACTCCCTGGAGAGACTGTAGCTGCTAAATGGCTGATTACAGCATGTTCACTGTGAAACTGCGAAACAAAAAATCCCTGCCGCCCTACACACACACAGACCCACACGTGTCCTCACTTTTTCACTTCTTCTATTATTATTTAGTTTATAGGAAAACATTTAAGATGTTCAACTCTCAAGCAGTTTGTTCTGTTCAAGCAGTCTATGTTTGCAGCGAGGAGCTGAATTCATAACACACTGTCAAACTTTACAACTTCAAATGAAAATGCTGTCTTCTCTCTGACCCAGATTATCTAATAAAAAGGGATGGAAAAAATATAGAAAATGAAAAACATTTAACCTGCCACAACAAAAGAAATTCCTCACAGTGCACAATACACATCCATGTTCCATATTTTATCACTACTTGAACCAGCAGCGTATAACTCCTGATTTGTTTGTGTATTTGTTCCATGCAGGCTGACAGACCTTGAGAGAGTATAAACTCAGAGGGACTACACTGAGCAAGAGAGCTTTTAAAAGTAGACATAAATGCAGAAATGTGGCACATTGTTACACCACTTGGAACAAAACGCATGTTAAAGTCCTATACAGGTCCAGTTTTGTCAGTTAATCTTACTACGATTGATCTATTGCAGAAAAAAAAAAAAATAATAAATTCCCACCCAACTTGTGGATACTATGATAGCTGTAGGCTCAGCGCTCACGGATGATTAAGCTGTGCACAGATGGCAAATGCAAGGGGTATCAGGGTACTGTAGGGATGCACAGTGGCCCAAGGGAAAAAACATGAATCACAAAAAGATGCAGTGTTAAAAAAGGCACTGTCAATGTTGTCATTGGATTACAATAGTTTGTGTTTCCACTCACTCATATGTCTTTGTGGCTTTGCAGCAAACAACACACATCCATCAGGCAAACAAGAAAAAGTGACAGTACATTTTAGGACTTTTTGAGGAGGGATCATTCATGACAAAGAATAATTCTGAAGAGTATTCCAGAGCAATATCACAGGCCAACTTAACAGCCCATTACCAACAGACATGGTTAGAAAAGGCACTGCACGAGTGTCAACCAATCCCACCCCTTGTCGGAAATATCGGCCTTCTCTCTCGTGACCTGGCTTTATTTGGGAGCACACCAGACTCGTCTTTAGGTACACATTATGCAGATGTTGTGTGACATCACTATGCCCCAGAAGTATCGGCCAGACTACTGACAAGGTGTTTCAGTTTTCTGTTGGGGAGGGGAGCTCCCTTTGTGGGTTATCTATGAGAAATGTGTCAATGTACAGGAGAAGGCATCTGACTTGAATGTCCTCCACTGGTGTCAGTCCTTAGTCTTTAAGTGCTAAAATGTCCTATCCTGCTCTTTAATGTGCTACCCTTGACAGTCCTTCTGGAATCACATAAAAGGGGCACACCCATTGTCAGTTTAGAAGATCTTTATAGCCCCGGACGAAGGAAGGACATTAGCAGGACTTCAGAAACAAGAATGCAGGGAAATGGAGGATTTGTAGGAGTAGTTGGGTTTTTTCTTCCAAAGGAAGGCAAAGAGGGTAAACAAGATGCAGTAGAAGCACGAATGCTACATTTCTGCTATCTTGAAGT